TTTGTTTCTTGTGTATCAGGAATTGTGATGTCCCTGGAGAGAAAAGAGAGTATGAAGTTTACAAAGAATGAACACCTGCTTTGAGCAAGGAGAAAAGGAAAAGGGTATAGATTTTCATTAAAATTCTATTGATCAATACCAGCCTTGACATTCTATCCCATTTAACTCTGAAAGTTATGCAAGTGGGTTTTCTTATCTGCATTTTGCAAAATGGCTTCCTTGTTGGCTCAGACGGTAAAGAATCTGCCTCAGAGCAGGAGACCCGGGTTTGAGCCTTGGTTTGAGAAGATCCCCTGGAAAAGGGATTGGCTACCCACTCCAGTATTCTTCTTCCTTGGAGAATTCCATGGACAGAGGAGCTGTCGCAGAGTCCGACATGACTGAGTGGCGGGCGCTTCTGCAGAAGCAGTGCTGGAGGGGAGAATAGACTCACGGAAAGTCACTCGGCCTTCAAGAGGGAAGGCTGCGATTCCAGTGTAAATGTACCTTATAAACATTTCTTTCTGGAACATTAAGAAAGTACGAACACAGGTCAGTGTCCCGCCACTGAAGTGGGAGTAGAGCTAACCAAAGAAGTAATTGTGCTTACCCCATGTCTTCAACAAGCCCTGGTTTGGGAAGACCCCTGAGGAGGGCATGGCGACCCACTCCAGTACTCTTGCCTGGAGAATCCCCAGGGACAGAGGCGCCTGGCGGGCTACGGTCCCTGGGGTCAGACCCAGGGCGACTAACAGCACAGCACATCTCTTCAACCACCATAAAAGAACATTTTCTCTCGTGTCTTTTAGTTTTTCTGCCTGTAGGTAGAAATAGTTCATTTCAAGTGACCTTGAAATGGTCAAGTGGACTAGACTTCAAGTCTAGTCCAGTGTTTCTGAATTAAAAAACAGTTAAGATTGTGATAGACGTGTGCAGTTGCCAGGGGAAAGGGATGGAGGCAGGCGGAAGGGCTGAGGGTGGTTGTTACAGCGGATGTCCACCAGAGGGCGCCAGAGCACTGGCGAACTCAACCTGCGGGTCCAGGGCGCGACCGCAAGGCTAGGTGATGAGCTTGGAGGAACCCAAGGATGCGCCCCGAGGAGACAGGTTGGTTAGGGCGCACTTCTAAATCCCTGGCCCAGAGTGCCTGCCCTCAACAAGGGAGCAGGGATGCGCATTCCGCACGCACGGGGGGCCCTTCCAGCCTGGTGGGTTGGCCTCACGGTCAGACTATGGGTTGTTTCTCCAGACGCAGAACAAACCTGCCTTGGACTTCCCTGGTGGCACAGTGGATGAGAATCCGCCTGTGAGTGCAGGCGGTGCGGGTGCATCCCCAGTCCAGGGAGGTCCACATACCTCGGTGCAACTAAGCCCAGATGCCACAACGACTGAGCCCACGCACTAGAGCCTGCAGCCGGCGAGTACTGAGCCTGTGTCCCAAGGCTCCTGGGCCCTAGAGCCTGTGCTCCACAAGAAGGGAAGCCACCCCAGTGAGTAGTCCCCGTGCACCACAGCTGGGGAAAGCCCAGGCAACAGCCAAGGCCCTGCACAGCCAAACATAATTTAAAAAAGACATACCTGCCTCGACTACTTGTGAACGCACAGTAGATGCTCAGTAGTCATAGTATTAATGACCATATGCATCATTTTCCAAATAGAGACTCAGATGTTACAGTCTTTGTTCTGTAAAGCTTAGGGTGCTAGCCAAACATGGGATCCTTCAGGACGGGATGGTGGTCTTAAATGGAACGCACAGTAGTTGTCATGTGATTAGGTGTTTGGTGGAAGGAGCCGAGGTGTGGCGTGTCTGCTTTCTTGAGTGCTGTTAAAAGTGGTTCTAGGGGAACAGCATCTGCACAAAGAAGAAGCTTGTTAAAGATGCCAGTTCATGAGCCCCACACCAAACTTGGAGACTCATAGTTTCTTCCTTGGGTGCTGGAATGCTTTGTATGCCTGTTAAAGTTTGAGGGGCAAGATTTAAAGACATGCTTTTCACTATAGGCTTGCCACAGAGATGACACAGTGAGTTTTAAATACTACTATCACCTGTGACCTCCTTCACACATTCCGTGTATTGGTCCGGATATATGGTTGAAAATGGATAACCAACAAAGACCTGTTTTATAGCACATGGAACTCTTAATACTCAGTGTTATGTGCCAGCCGGGATGGGAGGGAGGTTTGGCAGAGAGGTTTGGGAGAGAATGGATACATGTATATGTATGGCCGGTCCCTGGGCTGTTTACCTAAAACTATCGCAACATTGTTAATAGGCTATACCCCAATACAAAACAAAAAGTTTAAAGTCTGAAAAAAAAAACCGTAGTTCACACACAATGTTGTATTTGAGATGCATAACTTATTTCCTGTGAGCGACATAGTTTATAGAGAATGAAAATAAACTTGTTTTCATTACGTTTTCCAGGCAATTCCAGGGTGAAACCAGGGTTATTCAAGAGGGCTCTCAGATATTTTTGTGGTGTGAGACTTGAGTCCAGCCTTTGGTTCAAGGAAAGGTAACAGAGTCTGTGTGAGTGGGTCAGTTCAGTGCAAAGCACATGGCCCAGTGCTGCAGTCTTAGTGGCTGACTGTGAGAGGGAAGGGCATATGAAAACAGGGAAGCAGAATATCACGCTTTGGTCTCCATGTAGGAGCTCATTTCTTCATGCATCTGTCATGTGACAAAGGATAGGGAAGTGTGACCGTTCTGCATCTCCAGGGCCTCCTGTCTCTGCATGTGCAGGTAGCTGGTTGAGAAATGGAATACTTCCTGCTCTATCAGTAAACAAGGATGTCACAGTCATCAGGGATTGCAGCCCACAGGAAGAAAAACAATTCCTGCTATCTAGCTGCCAGCAGACTACAGCGACTCTACTGTGAGCCCCAATGAAGCTCAGGATATAAAAAAACAAATGATTCTGGCCCCAGATAGTTGACCTGCATATCAAAGGATTTCTGTGAGCCCAGACTCTTGCATCTTCCTGTACATAGAAGAGCACTAAATTCCCTAACTTGGGTTATCTGGTTTTCTTAAATTAACAATAGTCTTTTGAAGTTCAGACCACCTGTCCTTTGTTGGAAAACTTGTATATAACCTGGATTCTCCTCTTGCTTTTTCAGAGCAGCTCTCTCAGGGTTACCTGAGATGCTATCTCCGGGGCTTGAAGTCCTAAAAAATTTCTGCAGAATAAAAATGTTGTTTTTCAGGTACTAAGTCATGTCTGACTGTTTGTGACCCCATAGACTGCAGCAGGCCAGGCTTCCCCATCCTTCACCATCTCCCAGAGTCTGCTCAACTCACATCCATTGAGTCGGTGATACCATCCAAACAACTCATTCTCTGTCGTCCCCTTCTGCCCCCAATCTTACCCAGCATCAGGGTCTTTTCCAGTGAGTTGGCTCTTTGCATCAGGTGGCCAAAGTATTAGAGCTTCAACTTCAGCATCAGTCCTTCCTGTGAATATTCAGGGTTGATTTCTAAAGGATTGACTGGTTTGATCTCCTTGCAGTCCAAGGGACTCTCAAGAGTCTTCTCCAACACCACAGTTCAAAAGCATCAATTCTTTGGCGCTCAGCTTTCTTTATGGTCCAACTCTGACATCCGTACATGACTACTGGAAAAACCATAGCTTTGACTATATAGACATTTGTTGGCAAAGTGATGTCTCTGGTTTTTAATACACGGTCTAGGTTGGTCATAGCTTTTCTTCCAAGGAGCAAGCATTTTTTAATTTCATGGCTGCAGTCACCATCTGCAGATTTTGGAGCCCAAGAAAATAAAGTCTGTCACTGTTTTCATTTTTTTCCCCATCTATTTGCCATTAAGTGATGGGACCAGATGTCATGATCTTTGTTTTTTGAATGTTGAGTTTTAAGCCAGCTTTTCTACTCTCCTCTTTCACCTTCATCAAGAGGCTCTTAAGTTCCTCTTCACTTCCTGCCATTAGGGTGGTATCATCTGCATATCTGAGGTGGTTGTTATTTCTCCCAGTAATCTTGAATAAAGCGTAACTCTCAAATTTTAGGTTGCCTGCCTTTTTTTAGTTGATAAGGTGAAAGTGCTGTGCTGATGCCTTCAAAGATGTACAGGTGTGGGACTTCCCTGGTGGTCCAGTGGCTAAGACACCACACTTTCAATGCAGCGGCAGCTAAAAGTTTGAATGCCAGAACAAAAAACAAAAGATCTCCCTTGTCGAACCTAAGACCAGGCACAGCCATATACATTAAAAAAAAAATTTTTTTTTAATAGTTAAAATAAACGATGTACAGGTGTGATTCCTCTACATAGTATCGCCTGAGAAAGAAACCTGGGAATGGAAGAGGAAGATTCTTGTGTAAAATTTGTGATTCAGATCAGCGGCTCTGTCCCCATTTCTTCGTGAAATCCCATGCATTTAGAACTGGTAAACATTTACTTTTCTACCTCTGGTGGTCCTGCCTAACAAATTCCTTCCTTTTAAAAACATAATCTCTTTAATATCATGCATTTATTTATTTTAAATAGTGGTGCAGTGAAATCTTGGGGTGCATGTATTTTTTCAAAATAGGGTTTCCTCCAGATATAGACCCTGGAGTGGGACTGCAAGATCATAGGGTAGCCCTATTTTTAGATTAAAAAATTTTCCAGATTGTTCTCTATGGTGGCTGTTAGCAGTTTACATCCCCACCAACAGTGTAGGACAGCTTCCTCTTCTCCTACCCCCCTTACCAGAATTTATTTTTCGTAGGTGTGGACTTCCTTGCGCCCTGACTTTCTAGATGCTGATCTCTTCAAAGGGCTTTGCGTCACAAGCTTCATGGCAGCATGTCATAGCCCCGGGAGCGCTCTGACATCCCGAAGTAGCTCTGGGCAAACTGAAGCCTTGGTAACTGTATCAGCAGTGTGGGCCTGAACTTGTCCCACGCGCTTTGGCAACTCTGAAACCTTCAGTGGAAAGAGGGGGGAAAGGTGAGTGAAGCCAGCCTCTGACCTTCTGGCCTGCCCCGAAGTCTCAGGATGGCCGGAGGCTGAGGAAGGACAGTCAGGAGGGCTGATGCTGGGCTCCCGGCCCTTCCGTAGCTTGCAGGTGGTCGGCGCAGCGCAGGGTCAGGTACCCCTGGAGCAGCGTCTGGGGCGGAGTTCCCCAGGCGCAGCTGGCTCTGGGAGCGCAGTGATGTCGCCCCCGCCCCCGCCCCCCAGCCAGCTCCCCGCGCTGTGTCGGCTTCAGGATGCACCAGCTGCCCCGGGCTCCTGGAAACCCAGAATGAGGACCTGTGTGTCCTGGGGCTCATCCCGCCGCAGTCATTCCTCCTCCCATTCCTCTAGCCCGGGTGGGGTGGGGCCTCCTCCAAAGGAGGCCTGGTTCGGAGTTCCCGGGGGTTCCTTTGCTCAAGGGGTCCCCTCTGCACCCTGCCAGACCTTCTCTAGAGCAAACGGTGTCTTTCGGGGAGGATGCCTGCAGCCTTAAAAGGCACCAATGCTTCGCAGAGTGCGAAGCCCTTTCCCCTTGGCTTGGAAGGTTGGATGTGGGTATTTTGGTGATAGTTTAAAAAGAAAAAAAAAAAAAAGATCCTGCCTCTCAAGATCTCTGGGGTTTTCCCAGGTGTCTTCATGCAAACGGGAAGATGCTGGGGCATGGCCTGAAGCGCCGGGCAGAGGCAGTGTTCAAACTGGGCAGCGCTTTTGGGGTACTTTAAAATCCTTGCGCGGATATTCCACTCCGCCGAGGTGACGTGGGATGTCGGGGGGTGGGGGGTGGGGGTGGGGCGGGGCTTCCGAGTGTTTAAACATTCCCCAGGTGTTTGCAATCAGCAGTCAGGTGCAGACTCCCTGCCAGAGAACGTGGATGGCATGCCCCAGAAACAGAACCATGTGTATTTTATTGTAAATTTAAGGAACTGGGACTTGAACGTTGAAGCACAGACCCAGGAAAAAGAACTTGGTTGCCGGTTTGGCTTTTCACCAGGGTGACGGCTGCCAGCGCGGTGGGGGCTTGTGTTGGAGGTTCCCCTTTAGTTCCCCAGTGGGAACAGAGGAGAGCTCCATGATACTGGGAGCAGACGGAGCGGCGCTTCACGGAGAAGGTGCATTTCATCCATTTAGATTACGTTAACTTAAAAAAGGGGGCTAATTAAAATTTCTCAGTGCGGGGGCGTGTGTGTGTGTGTACACACGTACGTGTGTGAAAGTTGACCATGAGTTTGGAAAGGTTGAGTCTCTTCGTCAGTTCACACTTGGCTGGTTTCAGGGAGGAGAGCCCTAGCTTGTGTTGCCAGTTACTGTGAGCGTCATCCCCATGTTTAGTCAGGCTTTGGAGAAGTAGTTACGGAAGGCCTAGTCTGTGCCATGCAGTGTTTCCAGTGGTTTGGGGTTTGGTGTCTGGGTTTTGGAGGTCTGGGCTTTAGAGGTGAGGAGCAGGTCTGTATGTGGGGGAGGTGAGGCGGAGTCTTGTTTGGGTGGAACCCGCTGCCCCTGGATAAAGTAATCAGAAATAAAACCAGTGGAGAGGAAAGCGGTTTGTCCTTAAGCCTTGCTCAGTGGGTGCTTACCTCATCACCAGGGAGTGAGGCTGTGTTTCGTTCTGTATCTTAGCTGGCAGGCTGTTATCTTAGGGGACATGTCCCCGGGGTTTTCAGGGTGGACTTCACCGTCAGAACCCGTGAGTGGGCTCACTGACATACCAAAAAACAAGTAATGGTGAGTTGAAAACCTTTGAAAAAGAATATTGAATCTGACTGAAATATAAATCAGGTAACCATGAGGCTACTTTGATGTCGTCATTTGTCCTTGCTGCGGTTTCAGTGGTTTTGGGTGCCGAGTAAAAGGGTCAGTTGGTTAAACTTCAGTAAGGGGATCCAAAGATGTGGAGGGATCTTACTTAGCCTTTCAGGATGCTGCTGTTACGGAAAGGTGGGGGCTTCAGCTGCCTGCTGCTCAAAAGCCAATAAACAGGCCAGGTTGGTGGAAAGGAAAGTTTGCTTCACTTCAGATGCTGGCAGCCTGGTGGGGGGTGGAGGGGGGGACATCTGCCCAGAGGCCAGCTCCCCACAGCTGAGAAGCAGTGGGGTAAGAGATTTTTTAAGCTGAGAGAGGGGGCTCCATGCAGAACCAGCACGGTCAACTCCGTAGGTCGTCTTCAAATTGATCATCTTGTTTCAGGTGCAGTCAATCTTCAGTTCCAGAGTTAGTTTGTTTCTGTCTCTTGAAGCCAGTTGTCAGACTGGTGGCCGCATATGTCATGGGTAGAGGCTGGTCATCACGTAGTTAATTTCTTCCACCTGGTGGGGGTTTCTGTATCTACAAGACAGCTCACAGGGCGTGGCTCGGAATGTTGTCTATTAGCTGTTGAGCAGGAACTAAAGGTGCTTGACTATGCTCTTAATGAGGATGTTGTTATTGTTTGGTCTCCTTTGTTCTTTGTTTTTGCATGTTCTCACTTCTCTAATAAACGTATTCTTTGCCTAGAGTTTTTCATGGACAAAAGTCTGGCAGAGCACCTGTGGGCGAGGGCCCTAGGGTCCTGCTGTCTCACTGTGTCCTTGGCTCGAGGTGTCAGGTGTGGCTGAAACTGGAGAGGTGAGGGTGTGGCCTCTGTTCGGGGTGGTCTGATCCAGTGGCAGAGACCCTTGTCTGTATCTCAGGCCTAAAGGGTCTTGTTTTCCCACAGTCGGTTTACTGGCAACCATAGAGAGATGAGGAGCCTGGTCCCGTCCCAGGAGTCCTGGGGTTCTGCCCCCTCTTGCTCTGGGTCCTAAGCGCGTGCGTGAGGACTGTGTGCTGAGCACTCCGTTGGAGGTGGAGCCGTGAGATGGCTTCTATGGAGCACCCAGTCTGGAGGGGGGGCTGGAGAGGTCACAGGACTGACTCAGGATGTGGTTTGGTGGAGCAGAGTCCAGAATGGAGGCTGAGGAGCTCGGTCGGGCCCGTGGGTTATTACCGAATGCTGAGTGTGGTCTCCTCTGCTGCATAGGAGGTCCTCGTTGATTAGCTGTTTATAAATGTGAGTGTGTCTGTGTCAGTCCCAACGTCCTCATTTATTGCCACCCGCTCCCCTTTCCCCTTTGGTGACCATGGGTTTGTTTCCTAGGTCTGTGAGCCTGTTTCTGCTTTGTACGTTAGTTCGTTTTGGCCATGCCGCAGGGCGTGTGGGATCTTAGTTCCCTGACCAGGGATCGAGCCCATGCATCCTGCAGTAGAAGCACGAATTCTTAACGACTGGAGCACCAGGGAAGTCCCTAGTTCATTTTTCTCAGTGTGTGGATTCCACCTGTAAGTGGCAGCCTGTGATGTTCATCTTTCTCTGTCTGATACTGTCATCTCTAGGCCCGTCCTTGTTGCTGCCAATGGCATCATTTCATTCTTTTCTATGTCTGAGTAATATTCCATTGTATATGTGTACCACATCATCTTTGTTCTCCATTTCTCTGTGGCTGTTTATTTTCATTGGTTCCATGTCTTGGCTCTTGAAAACAGTGTTGCATGACCACTAGGGCACATGTGTCTTTTCAAATTCTGCTTTTCTATTCTGCTTTTCTATATATAGACTGCCTGGGAGTGGGATTTCCAGATCCTGTGGTAGCTCTAGTCTCCAGGAAGTAGTGCCGTGCAAACGAAAGCACTGGGCAATTGTGGAAGCAGGTTGTGGCCTTGGAAGCTCAGTGGAACAAAGGCTTTGGCCAATCTTGGGATCTCTGGACTTGTCCCATGTGCTTTGGGACCCCAGACATTTGAGGCACTTTGGCATCTCTGAAACCATGAGACACGTGATGGGTAGTGGAAAGGAGGGGGAGAGGTGAGTGAAGCCAGCCTCTGACCACCTGGCCTACCCTCTTCCAGGGAGCCCCAGGATGACTGGAGGTGGACGAAGGGCAGCAGGCAGGGGCAGCGGTGGACCGCTGGCCTCTTCTTTACCTTGCAGGTGCTCCAGGCGGCCAAGGCCAAGTCCTCCTGGCGCAGCTCTTCGGAGGGGAGCTCCCCCAGGCGCAGCTGGCTCCTGGAGTGCAGGGCTGTGGCCGCCCCCAGCACTGTGTGGGCTTCAGGGGTCCAGCAGTCCCAAGCGCCCGGGAGCCCGCGGGGAGGAGGCTGTGTCCTGGGGCTCATCCCGCCGCAGTAGTCCCTCCTCCCCCTGGTCTTCCACCTCCTCCCCTTTCTCCTCCTCTTCTCCGCCCTCTTCCTCCTCGTCCTCCTCCCCCTCCTCTTCCTCTGCCCCAGATGTGGGTGGGGCCCCCTCCAAAAGAGACCTGATTCAGAGCTCACCGGGGTGCCTTTCGTCAAGGGGATCCCTTCTGCGCCCTGCCAGACCTTCTCTGGAAGAACTGTCTCTAGGGGAGCGAGCTTGCAGCCTTAAGGTAAGCGGCCCCAGTGCTTTGAAAGCAGTGAAGCCCTTTCCCCTGGCTTGAGATGTTGGAGGTTGTATTTTAGTGAAAGGATACTTAAAAGAAAAAAAGAGCCTCTTAGGACCTGTGGGGACTTCCCAGAGGGGTACGTGTAAATTGGTAGGTGCCAGGGGATGGCCTGAAGTTCCGTGCAGAGGTGGTGTTGGAACCGGCCAGCACTTTGGGACTGCCTTAGGACCCTTGCGCCTTCCTGCAGGGGTCGCGTGGGCTGTGGGCAGGGATTCGAGTCTTCAATAAAATTTTCCTCAGGTGCTTGTCCGGCTGGAGTCAGACCGGCTGAGCGGGAAGGTGGGTGGCGTGCCCCAGAGACCCAGCTGTACCATTTTGTTTACAGATTAAGGAATTGTGTCTTGTGCTTTGAAGCCCAGAACCAAGACAAGAATCTGGTTCCTGGTGTGGCTTTTCCCCCAGGTTACAGTTTCTAGCATGTTGGGGTTTTGCATGGTGAGGCAGGGTTTGCTTTGGAGGTTCCCATTTATTTCCCCAATGGGAACGCACAGGAGGGCTTCCTGACACCGGGAAGCCGACGGAGGGTGCTGCACGGGGGAGGCGTGTTTCATCCACTCATTTTACGTGAAGCTACAAAAGAGGGTTAATTTCATTTTTTTCAGCCTGCAGGTGTTGAGGGTGTGTGTGTGTGAAAGTTGGTCTTGAGTTTGGAAAGGTTGAGTCTCTTGCATTCAGTCTGCTCTTTGCTGGCTCCAGGCAGGAGAAGAGTCCTAGCTATGTTGCCAGTTACTGAGTGAGCACCACCCGTGTGTTGGATCGGGTTTTGGAGAAATAGTTAGGGAAGGCCTAGTTAGTGCCGTGCAGTGCTTCTAGTGGTTTGGGGTTTGGTCTCTAGGTTTTGGAGGTCTGGCTGCTGTAACAAAATGCCATGGACTGGGTAGCTTGTAAACCACAGAACTTTCTCACAATTCTAGAGGCTGGAAGTCTGAGATCAGGATGCCAGCTGGGACAGGCAAGGACCCTCTTCAGGGTCCCAGACTTCTCGGAATCCTCACGTGGTGGGGGAGGGGGCAAGGCAGTTGTCCTGGGGCCCCTTCACTAGGGCCCTGAGCCCGTCACTGAGGGCCCCGCTTTCCTGACCCGGTCACTTCCCATGGGACACATGGCATACCGTCACCTTGGGGTCAGAGTTCAACATGTGGGTCTTCTGGGGAACACATTCAAACCATGCCTATACTGGGGGATTTTGGAATCACTGGAGATTCCTGTTGGCCAGCATCTCGTTGTTTGTGCCTTATTAGCTGCGGGTTGTCTGTGAGATTCTCTTAGATACTAATGGTCACTGACAGTCCCCCTTTACTTTATAGGGAAGATTGAATGTGTCTGTTATGAGCACCTTCACCCACTTTATGTTCAGTCTTTAGTTTGACATACGCAAATTTCTGATTCAGTTTAGGGGAGGAAGAGTTTGAGCCTTCATGATGTGCTAAAGCTTGTCAAATGACTCTCAGTGTTTGACCTCTCGATGGTCACTAAATTCTCAGTCTTCTGAAGTGGGCAGAGTTATCTTTTTAAAATTTGTTTTATTCATTTTTCAGAAGAAAACCAGGGTTACGCTAAACCCTTGAGATTTTAAGCATCATTGTTGTTTTATTTATTTATTTTTTTTTTAAAGTCTGTGGTCTTAACCTAGAGTGTACCTTCTTTTTTTTTTCCATTTATTTTTATTAGTTGGAGGCTAATTACTTTACAACATTGCAGTGGTTTTTGTCATACATTGAAATGAATTAGCCATGGATTTACATGTATTCCCCATCCCGATCCCTGCTCCCACCTCCCTCTCCACCCGATCCCGCTGGGTCTTCCCAGTGCACCAGGCCCGAGCACTTGTCTCATGCACCCAACCTGGGCCGGTGATCTGTTTCACCCTAGATAATATACATATTTCGATGCTGTTCTCTTGAAACATCCCACCCTCGCCTTCTCCCAGAGTCCACAAGTCTGTTTTATACATCTGAGTCTCTTTTTCTGTTTTGCATATAGGGTTATTATTACCATCTTTCTAAATTCCATATATATGTGTTAGTATACTGTACTGCTCTTTATCTTTCTGGCTTACTTCACTCTGTATAATGGGCTCCAGTTTCATCCATCCCATTAGAACTGATTCAAATGAATTCTTTTTAATGGCTGAGTAATATTCCATGGTGTATATGTACCACAGCTTCCTCATCCATTCATCTGCTGATGGGCATCTAGGTTGCTTCCATGTCCTGGCTATTATAAACAGGGCTGCGATGAACATTGGGGTGCACGTGTCTCTTTCAGATCTGGTTTCCTCGGTGTGTATGCCCAGAAGTGGGATTGCTGGGTCATATGGCAGTTCTATTTCCAGCTTTTTAAGAAATCTCCACACTGTTTTCCATAGTGGCTGTACTAATTTGCATTCCCACCAACAGTGTAAGAGGGTTCCCTTTTCTCCACACCCTCTCCAGCATTTATTGCTTGTAGACTTTTGGATAGCAGCCATCCTGACTGGCGTATAATGGTACCTCATTGTGGTTTTGATTTGCATTTCTCTGATAATGAGTGATGTTGAGCATCTTTTCATGTGTTTGTTAGCCATCTGTATGTCTTCCTTGGAGAAATGTCTGTTTAGTTCTTTGGCCCATTTTTTGATTGGGTCATTTATTTTTCTGGAGTTGAGCTGGAGGAGTTGCTTGTATATTTTTGAGATTAATCCTTTGTCTGTTGCTTTGTTTGCTATTATTTTCTCCCAATCTGAGGGCTGTCTTTTCACCTTGCTTATAGTTTCCTTTGTTGTGCAAAAGCTTTTAAGTTTCATTAGGTCCCATTTGTTTATTTTTGCTTTTATTTCTAAAATTCTGGGAGGTGGGTCATAGAGGATCCTGCTGTGATTTATGTCGGAGAGTGTTTTGCCTATGTTCTCCTCTAGGAGTTTTATAGTTTCTGGTCTTACATTTAGATCTTTAATCCATTTTGAGTTTATTTTTGTGTATGGTGTTAGAAAGTGTTCTAGTTTCATTCTTTTACAGGTGGTTGACCAGTTTAACCTCGAATAGCCAAAGTAATCCTGAGAAAGAAGAATGGAACTGGAGGAATCAATCTGCCTGACTTCAGACTATACTACAAAGCCACAGTCATCAAGACAGTATGGTACTGGCACAAAGACAGAAATATAGATCAATGGAACAGAATGGAAAGCCCAGAGATAAATCCACGAACCTATGGTCACCTTATCTTCGACAAAGGAGGCAAGGATATACAATGGAAAAAAGACAACCTCTTATCATTGTTGTTTTAAATTGAAGTGTAGTTGATGGCAGTGCCGTCTTTACGTCTTAGCAAATATTTAGCTATCAGTGAACACATATTTGAGCACCTGCTATGTGCAGGCCCTGGGAGAATGAGACTCAGAAAGGTCATATGACTTGACCAAGGCCACACAGCTTCCACAGGGCAGAGCTGTCATATAATCCCCAATCAGTCTGACTTTGAAGCCAGTGTTCTTTCTGCTGCTGCCCTCTGTGAGTACTGTCCTCCTGACCCAGCGTTAGACCTGGGTGTGGTCTAAAAGGCTGGGGACATGAACAAGACAGGATCCTTTCTCTTGAGGAACCCTCCACAGGGTCATGCAGCCCAGACATGAGAGAGCATTTTGTATCTTGGCTCGAGTGATGAACTTCCATGAGTGGTCCTGTCTCCAGCGTCTTCTCCCCTCAGATGTCCGGGGCTTGGGTGGAAAGCTGTGCTGGGGCTGTAGCAGCAGAGAGTAAGCCAGTTCATCACAGGGCAGCGTGTGGTGTGTTATATCAGGGATATCTGAAGTCACAAGGAGTCTGAGAAGTGAGGGGTTAGCCATCGGGGAAGTCCTCACAGAAGAGGTGTCGTTTGAATTCTGCAAATAGACAAGGAAGAGGAAAGGGCATTTCAGGCAGCAGGAGCAACGTGTGTCCAGAAAGTGTCAGGAAATGCTGGTCTCTGATGCTTGGGGCACGTCTTGTTCCTGTGGCCCTTCTTTCCCCCTCCTCCAGTGTTCCTCATTCCCAGGACACCCGAGTGAGTGGGAAAAGGTAGGAGATGATGCTGGACGGAAGGCTGGGGACCAGCCTGGGGAGGAGGGCTTCAGGGGACACGCTCAGGAGTCCAGGATCTCTACTGCAGGCAGATGCAGAGCCGTTGCAGGGTTTTAAGCAGAGGTGTGACGTTGCCAGATGGTAGAACTCCTTGTGGCACCTGTAGAAAGTGGCTCGGTGGGGCCAAGCGGGCAGCCACTGAAATTGTTCCCCGTGGCTCACAGTGCTGAGGGCTGGCGTGATATCTCCCCTGACGCCTCATTTGCCATATGCTTTATAGATGGAATCGCCTTTCCTAATCTCTCATCTTCCAGGTTGATCCTAAATACAGTCCTCAGAACTCCGTGGATTCCGATCTCACAGCTGGAGCTCAGGGTCCAAACGGAACAGCTGAGGAATCAGACAAAGTCCAGAAAAGGCAGAGGGATAGACTTCGAGACCAAGGCTCTACCAGGATCTACCTAAAGGCCATCCAGGGGGTCCTGAGAGAGTTGATGCCCAGAAGGAAAGGAGAGGTGGCCTCGAGGGCAAAAGCCAACACCGGGGAGCGCCGTGGCCCTGGAGAGGGTGCTGCCGTGGGTGTCACCGAGTCTGCGCCTCATAAAGAGGAAACGTCCGCCCCAGATGTCACAGCGGAGGAGGAGGAGGCTGGGCTGGAGACGAGCGTCTTCTGTGACAACACAGCGCTGACAGACCCTCGGGAGAGACCCAGAGAGCGGCCCCTGGGTGACCGAAGGGTGGTCGCTGGCCAGGGCTCTCCACCGCTGGAGGTCTGCAACGACTCTGACTCAAATTTCTGCAGCCAGAAGGTGAGTCCCAGTCATGCTAGGCATGAGGTTTTGAGTTTTGTTCAGTGTATTTGGTCTTCTTAATTTGGTCCTAAGTGTTATACTCACTCAACACAGTCCTTGACTTCCTCACGGCTCCAGGAAGCAAATTGATGTTTCTCTTCTAACATGGTTCTTTAAAAGCTGTTGTAGTTGTTTAGTCGCTAAGCCGTGTCCAACTCTTTGCTACCCCTTGGACTGCAGTGCACCTGTCTGTCGCTATCTCCTGGAGTTTGCTCAAACTCATATCCATGATGCTGTCTAACCATCTCATCCTCTGTCGTCCCCTTCTTCTTTTGCCTTCATTCTTTTCCAGCATCAGGGTGTTTTCCAATGAGTTGGCTCTTCCCATTAGGTGGCCAAAGTATTGGAGCTTCTGCATCAGTCCTTCCAGTGAATATTCAGGGTTGATTTCTTTGAAGATTGACTGGGTTGATCTTCTTGCAGTCCAAGGCTCAAGAGTCTTCTCCAGCACCACAGTTCAAAAGCATCAGTTCTTCGGTGCTCAGCCTTCTTTATGGTTCAACTCTCACATCTGTACATGACTACTGCAAAAACCATTGCTTTGACTGTGCATGCAGACTTTTTTGGCAAAATGATGTCTCTGCATTTTAGTACACTGTCTAGGTGTGTCATAGCTTTCCTTCCAAGAAGCTATTGTTTTTTAATTTCATGGCTGCATTCACCTTCTGCAGTGATTTTTTATCCCAAGAAAATAAAATCTGTCACTACTTCTACATTTTCTCTATCTATTTGCATGAAGTGATGTGACTGGATGCCATGATCTTTGTTTTTTGAATGTTGAGTTTTAAGCCAGCTTTTTCACTCTCCTCTTTCACCCTCATCAAGAAGCTCTTTAGATCCTCTTTACTTTCTGCCATCAGGGTGGTATCATCTGCCTATCTGAGGTTGTTGATATTTCTTCTGGCAATCTTGATTCCAGCTTGTTATTCACTCTTGCCATCTCCTGCTTGACCATGTCCAATTTACCTTGATTCATGCACCTAACATTCCAGATTCTTACGCAATATTATTCTTTACAGCATCGGACTTGACTTTCACTACCAGACACTCCCACAACTGAGCGTCATTTCTGCTTTGGCCCAGCCACTTCATTCTTTCTGGAGCTATTCATAATTGCCCCCACTCTAAGCCCCCCAGGCGTGTACTGGACCGTTTCCCACCTGGGGGGCTCATCAGCGAAACCACTTACCATATTGCTTTTCAAACAGTTACCTTCCAAAAAAAAAAAAAAAGTAGAAATGATCTTTAAAAGCTTTATTAAAAATGCTGTCCAACACAGAACTCTCAGGTCATACTGGAAATAATTATTAAATCTGTCACCTTTCTTTGCTTCCTTTCTCCCTTCCTTTTAAAAAAATGAATTTATTGCTCACTCCAGTAGCACACATACTAAGACTGGAACGAAACAGAGAAGATTAGCATGGCCCCTACGCAAGGATGACAAGTACATTTGTAAAGGGTCCCATGTGTTTTAATGAGGTGGATGAATCTAGAGCCTGTTATACAGAGTGAAGTAAGTCTGAGAGAGAAGAATGAATACAGTGTGTTAACATATATATATGGAATCTAGAAAGATGGTACTGAATAACCTATTTGCAGGGCAGCAGTGGAGATGCAGAGAACAGACTTGTGGACGCAGTCTGGGGAGGAGAAGGTGGGATGGATGGAGAGAGTAGCATGGAAACATGTGCATTACCGTACGTAACATCGATAGCCATCGGGAATTTGCTGTATGATGCAGGGAGTTCTAATCAGATGCTCTGTGACTGCCTAAGAGGGGAGGGACTGGATGGGAGGTGGGAGGGAGGATCAAGACAGGGGGCCTACATGTACCTGTGGCTGATTCATGTTGTTGTGTGGCAGAAATCAACACAATATTGCAAAGCAGTTATCCTCCAATTACAAAAAAAAATTTTTTTTCAATAAAATAAGTTTAGGGAGTCTCTTTAAGTGTCTTAAATTAGGTTGGTTGGGGTTCGTTGGGGGTCATTTTTCTCCTTCAAATAAAAGAATACATCTTGTAATACAAGAGACTTTGTAAGGACTTGAATAGAAAATGATCCCTCAGAAAAGGAGGCATCATTTTGAGGAGAAAACCTTACCTTCCATTTGGGCATTTTTTGGGTAATTTTACAGATTAGCTTTTGTTGGTGAAATACATTCTAAAGAGCTAGATTGCAAAGATGTCATTTGTTGGTGTATGTGAGAAACATTTCGTTTGTTTTTTGAAGTGTACTTGAATAATAGTATTGTTAGTTTGAGAGGCATTTTAACTTTCAAGTGCACATATACCAAGGGGAAAAAAAGATTTTAGTATGTCTCACTGAAAAATTCATTAGGGAAAAAACTCGCAGGCTCAGGCAGGGTTGCAGTTTCTTATCGTCTGCGTTGATGGAATTTTCTGTTATAAGCAAGCTAGTTTTTGAAGATTTGTTCTCCCTTAGAAATTAACTTTTTAAAAAAAGCTTTTTTAATGGGAAATTTTAAACATTTTCAAAGGAAACAGGCAAGTATAACAAATCTCCCTCTTCCTTCCCATCACCCAGGTTCAGGAGTTCAGAATAAAATTTAGATGTGCTGCAATTTCAGTTACCTTGCACCTTATCTTGCTTGGGTGTTTATTATTCAGGAAAGGAGTAACAGGAAGAAATCTAAAGCAGAAAAGTGTCAAATGGGCATCTTATAATTCATTAAAATACCTGTTACCAATTTGTTTCTTTTTAGACTTGTAGATAAAGGCATGGAAAACTAGAGTAGACCTTAGAAATAAACCTTTTGGTCTGTTAAGGAGGTGGTCAGTTGATCCATAATGCTCTCTCATAGTGAGTTGTTTGTTATACAAATTGTATTTGCTAATGAAAATACTAGAAGAACTTCCTTAAGGCCTCTTGGTCACGTCATCTGGTGCCCGCGGATACAGATGGCTTCATTAAGGAAAAGAAAACGGGCACTTGAGCGGAGTTGTTTTTGCATGAAGTGAAATCTGGGTTGAGTGTATTTCTCAAACCTGGTCTGTATCAAAATTACATGGAGATGTAAGGACAGGTTCCTTGGCCCTTCCCTGGACCTTCTTAATCATAGTGTCTCAGGGTGGGGAGGGTCATAAAAAAGCCCCTCAGTGGTTCTGGTGTGAAGCTCCGTTCAGGAATCATACTATTTATTCTACAAATTAATTCAAATACCCCAGGGGCATTAGTGGTAAGAATCGCCTGCTAGTGTAGGAGAAGTGAGAGATGTGGGCTCGATCCCTGGATCCAGAAGATCCTCTGGAGAAAGGCATGGCAACCCATTCCATATTCCTGCCTGGAGAATCCCATGGATAGAGGAGCCTGGTGGGCTGCAGTCCCAAGGATTGCAAAGAGTCTGACACAACTGAAAATGCATGCAGAAATTAAAATACAGTATTCACGGCACTTGTTATATTCCCGGACACTGTTCTAGGTGTTTAGGAGACCTCAGAGAAGAGAAGTTCTTGACTTTGTGGACTTAGGATCTAGCAGGGCTAAATTGACTGAATGCAGTGTTTAGTTATTCAGTTATTATTGCTACCTAGTGATATAACATAAACAATTTTTTTGCTCTCAAGTTTGTGATGCAGGAAGTCCGATCGGTCTAGACTGAGCAGGTCTTGCGTGGTGGGGGGACGGGGGCTCTCTGGTTCTGTTCAGTTACCAGGTGGGCCCCGGTCTGAAAGCCCGGTAAGGCTTGCAGTTGTTCAGTCACTCAGTTGTGCCCAAAGCTTTGCAACCCCATGAACTGCAGCACCTCAGGCTTCCCTGTCCTTCAGCATCTTGCAGAGCTTGCTCAAACTCATTATGCCATCCAACCCTCTCATCCTCTGTCGTCCGTTTCTCCTGCCTTCACTCTTTCCCAGCATCAGGGTCTTTTTTTTTTTTTTTTTTTTTTCATTTATTTTTATTAGTTGGAGGCTAATTACTTTACATCATTGCAGCGGTTTCTGTCATACATTGAAATGAATTAGCCATGGATTTACATGTATTCCCCATCCCGGTCCCCCCTCCCACCTCCCTCTCCACCCGATCCCTCTGGGTCTTCCCAGTGCACCAGGCCCGAGCACTTGTCTCATGCACCCAACCTGGGCTGGTGATCTGTTTCACCCTAGATAATATACATGTTTCGATGCTGTTCTCTTGAAACATCCCACCCTCGCCTTCTCCCAGAGTCCACAAGTCTGTTCTATACATCGGAGTCTCTTTTTCTGTTTTGCATATAGGGTTATCGTTACCATCTTTCTAAATTCCATATATATGTGTTAGTATACTGTAATGGTCTTTATATGAGTCAGCTCTTGGCATCAGGTGGCCAAAGTATGGAGCTTCAACTTCAGCATCAGTCCTTCCAGTGAATAATTCAGGGTTGATTTCCTTTAGGATTGACTGACTGGTTTGATCTCCTTGCAGTCCAAGGGACTCTCAAGAGCCTTCTCCAACACCACAGTTCAAATGCGTCAATTCTGTGGCACTCAGCCTTCTTTATGGTTCAGCTCTCACATCCATACACAACTACTGAAAAAACCATAGCTTTAACTAGACGGAACTTTGTCAGCAAGGTGATCTCTCTGCTTTTTAATACACAGTCTAGGTTGGTCATAGCTTTTCTTCCAAGGAGCCAGCATCTTTTAACTTTATGGCTGCAGTCACCATCTTCAGTGATTTGGAGTCCAAGAAAATAAAGTCTGCCACTATTTCCCTTCTTTCCCCATCTGTTCGCCATGAAGTGATGGGACTGGATGCCATGATCATCATTTTTTGAATGTTGAGTTTTAAGCCAGCTTTTTTACTGTCCTCTTTGACCTTCATCAAGAGGCTCTTTAGTTCCTCTTTGCTTTCTGCTGCCATAAGGGTGGTGTCATCTGCATATCTGAGGTTATTGATATTTCTCCCGGCAATCTTGATTCCAGCTTGTGCTTTATCCAGCCCAGAATTTTGCATGATATACTCTACATATAAGTTAAATAAGCAGAGTGTTAATATACAACCTTGACGTACTCCTTTTCCTATTTGGAACCAGTCTGTTGTTCCATGTCCGCTTCCACTTGTTGCTTCTTGACCTGCATACAAATTTCTCAGGAGGCAGGTAAGGTGGTCTGGTATTCCCATCTCTTGAAGAATTTTCCACAGTTTGTTGTGATCCATACAGTCGAAGGCTGTAACGCAGTCAATGAAGCAGATGTTTTTCTGGAATTCTCTTGCACTTTCTGTGGTCCAGCGGGTGCTGGCAATTTGATCTCTGGTTTCTCTGCCTTTTCTAAATCCAGCTTGAACATCTGGAAGTTCTCAGTTCACATACTGTTGAAGCCTGGCTTGGAGAATTTTGAGCATTACTTTGCTAGCGTGTGAGATGGGTGCAGTTGTGCAGTAGCTTGAACATTCTTTAGCATTACCTTTCTTTGGGATTGGAATGAAAACTGACCTTTTTCAGTCCTGTGGCCACTGCTGAGTTTTCCAAATTTGCTGGCATATTGAGTGCAGCACTTTCACAGCATCATCTTTTAGGATTTGAAATAGCTCAGCTGGAATTCCATCACCTCCACTAGCTTTGTTCGTAGTAATGCTTCCTAAGGCCCACTTGACTTCACACTCTTAAGATGTCTGGTTCTAGGTAAGTAATCACACCATCATGGTTATCTGGGTCATGAGGGTCTTTTTTGTATAGTTCTTCTGTGTATTCTTATCACCTCCTCTTAATAGCTTCTGCTTCTGTTAGGTCCATACCATTTCTGTCCTTTATGGTGCCCATCTTTGCATGAAGTGTTCTCTTGGTATCTCTACTTTTCTTGAAGAGATCTCTAGTCCTTCCCATTCTGTTGTTTCCCTCTATTTCTTTGCATTGATCACTGAGGAAGGCTTTCTTACCTCTCCTTGCTATTCTTTGGAACTCTGCATTCAGATGGGTATATCTTTCCTTTTCTCCTTTGCATTTAGCTTCTTTTCTTTTCTCATCTATTTGTAAGGCTTCCTCAGACAGCCATTTTGCCTTTTGCATTTCTTTTTCTTGGGGATGGTCTTGATCACTGCCTCCTGTATGGTGTCATGAACTTTCATCCATAGTTTATCAGGCACTCTATCAGATCTAATCCCTTGAATCTATTTGTCACTTCCCCTGTATAATCATAAGGGATTTGATTTAGGTCATACCTGAATGGTCTAGTGGTTTTCCCTACTTTCTTCAGTTTAAGTCTGAATTTTGCAACAAGGAGTTCACGACCTGAGCTGCATTCGGCTCCTGGCAAGACTGGCCATCCACAATGCTCAGTCACTGCTGGACGCGCTAGGCAGTGGTGTGCCCTCTCCAGTGTGTGGTCGTGGGTACTCGGACGTTACATGGTGGCCAGCCACCCTCAGAGGATCTAGTGGAGAGAACCAGGGGTGACGGCAAGGCCCTTCCGCCCTGGCCCCAGAAGCTGCAGTGTCGCTCCTGGTTCTGTCAGTGACAATACAAGTTTGCCCAGGTTCAAGGGAAGGGGTCACAAAGCCCACCTTTCAATGGAGGCTGATGTCAGAGAATTTGTGAACATAGCTTAACACCGCTACAAGGGCGGGGCGGTGTGTTTTGAATGTGCGAGAGACGTGTTGTTAGGGGCGCTGGGTGCTGCTTTTCTCTGAAATGCCCTCCCCTCCCCAACACCGTGTGTTCTTGTTCAGTCGCTAAGTCGTGTCCGACTCTGCGACCCCATGGACTGCAGCACACCAGGCTTCCCTGTCCTTCACTACCTCGTGGAGCTTGCTCAAACTCATGTCCATTGAGTCAGTGATGCCATCCAACCATCTCACCCTCTTTCGCGCCTTTCTCCTCTTGCCCGTGTGTTCTGGTGAGCAGTTTTTTCCCCAGAGGGATTCTTCGGGAAGGGCGTGCAGGCCTAGACCCTCTCGGGGATGGCATGTGGCAGCATGCTCACAAGTCTGCTCCCTGAAGCCACTAGCCCTGTTCCTAGCTGCAGCCTGGCTCGCTTTCTGGGAATAACAAGGAAGCCGGGTGACAGAGTGCACTAAGGCATGAATGCAGAGCCGTCATCACAGCCATAAAAGCTGCCAGGGCTTGTGTCCTGCAGGTGACCGTGCACGGGAGGCTGTCGTCACACAGAAAGACGTTAACCTTCTGTCTCTTTTGTTTTCTGCAGACTCACAGGGCGAAGGAGCAAAGAGCATTCTGGGAGGGCGGGTGGCCATGTGGCGGAGCCGCATCGAGCCCAGGCTGGAGCGTTTCATCGACACCCACTGTCGCCTGGATGCGCCCTTTGCCAGGCTGTCCTTCCAGGGGACCTTCGCTTGGTTCAGGAAGACCTACAGCCGCTCCTTCGCGAAGGAGTTTCAGGGCTGCACCTCCGACTTCTGCGATCCTCTCACACTGACCGACGGCCTCTGGGAGGACCCGGAGTGGGGGGTCCTCTGGCCGTCACCCCCATTTTGCTCCCTGCTGCGGTGAGAGGCAAGAAGGAAATCTGCAGGCCTTCAGGCACCCCAGAACTGTGCCGTTCGGGGCGATGGGCTTGGATGACTCCCTGAAGTGCTCCATGCCCGCCCCGGTGCAGCACAAGGCGACGTCGTCCTCGGGGGCTTACTTACCGTGTGAGTTCCTCATTTCCTTGTAACATCGGGGTTTCTCTGCCTTGGGAACTAACGAATTTAGAATCTCTAAGGATGTCATCACTCTTATCCAGACCCCCTAGTTGTCATTGGTCACATGCTTCACACGCTGTTTCTTACCTCTCAGCTTCATTGCATAAGAAGACGGGGACAGGCCCGAAGTGACCCTTGCAGCCAATGATACCAGTGGCAAAACTTCTGTTCCTTCTTGGGAAGCAGCACATTTTGTTTGATTAAATAATATTTTTTTTATAAAATATATTTTATAACATATATAATTATTTATAACTTATATAAACTGTATTTTATAACTTAAAGTTAGTGTGCCTATTGCAGGATATTTGAAAAGTACACAGATGTATGCAGATCATTTCCTGTTCCATCAACATCGTGACCCTGACCATCATAAGACCTTTCCCGTTCAGTGAGCTTCGTTTCCTCCTGCGCTTTTTCCGCTGGCTTGCTGGGGAGGACAGATTCTCCAGCCCAGCCACAGTTTCTGTCCCCAGACAATTCTTCCTTCTTAACGGTTTTGAAATTCAGATGTGTTTTGAAATTCATATTTTTAATGTTGCTGTGCCTTGGAGAATTGCGAGGAACAGTTGGGAGGTGTGTCATTCAAACACCTGTCACAGAATCAGGAACATGTGGGCTGTCTCTGCATGCTTTTTAAAAAAGTAGGAAAATCAAAATGAGAAAGTAGTAGTCGCAAACCTTTTTTCTACTGTGAAAGTGTTCCTGCTTCAGTAAGTATGCTTTGAAAAATAGGCTTTTTAACATCTATGTAATATTCCACCTCAAGGCTGTACTAGTTTGATTACTTAAGGAAAGATTTTTTAGAAGCAAAAATTAAATGTGGGAATTAGAATCCCTTGCTACCTCCTGCCTCTGGAGGGGCCCAGGGAGGGTGGTTGTGTTGGAGGGGGCGGTTCTCGCCAGCTCTAGATACTGAATCTAGCTTGTCTTCACAGTCCTTGGCAAGCAGTCTATACTCTTGGTTCCCCAGGGTCACTTTCTCTTAGTTAAAAACCACAGATTCAATGTGAGTTACAGCAGAATTGGTATTGACTCATTGCCACTGTTTTGAGGAGAGGTAGTGTAAATGTTGGAGAAGGAAATGGCAGCCCACTCCAATGTTCTTGCCTGGAGAATCCCAGGGATGGGGGAGCCTGGTGGGCTGCCGTCTGTGGGGTCGCACAGAGTCAGACACGACTGAAGCGACTTAGCAGCAGCAGCAGCAGTGTAAGTGTTGGACCTGAATGTAATTGCAGGTGAACACCACCTGACTCAAATTACCCAAAGCATCTTTTTATTTGATGGAGTAATTCAAACACGAATTATATTCCACAATTGAAAAAATTTCATAGAAACATTAAGTTGAAGATGACATAATTTGTTTATGAATGAATTAGTATTTTTAAGTTGAAGATGACATAATTTGTTTATGAATGAATTAGTATTTTTGTTCTTTTCTTCCTGAACTGAACTTCTTAAAGGAAAGGATAAGTTCTAGCCCTGTTTTTTCATTAAAATTATTAGCAACTTGTATATTTTACTGCTGAAGATTTTTAAAGTATCTAGAACTTTTAAAAATGTAATATATCTGTAGGTATCCACCTAGAAGATGATCTGATTTTGGTTAGGAAAGCAAGTTGGAGGAAATATATGTAGTATTTATTCTTTCCACACACACTTGAGCACCTTCTGAGAGTCAGGCGTTGTGCAGGGGTGTGTGTGTATGGCAGCGCTGTGTGTAGGAACAGGTGTGCAAGGTGATGGATTACCTCTGGGGAGTGGGGGTAGAGGACGGGCCAGTGACACTTAGCCGGTAGTGATGCCTCTGAGCACCGCCCTGCCCCCAGAGCCCCAGATACATGTGGCCCAGTGGTTGCTGTGAGCACAGCCTGGGTTCAGATTTGAATTGTGGTGCTGGAGCTCACCACCTGCAAGTTACATGACCTCATTTGGAGCCTCGGTTTCTTTGCAGGATGGGCTAATAGCAGGAACTCTACTAAGGTGCTCTTGAGCATTGCATGTTATAATACATCTAAATACTGCTACCACCTAGGAGGGCTGTCCCTTGTGGCTCAGCCGGTAAAGAATCCGCCTGCAATGCAGGAGACCTGGGTTCGATCCCTGGGTTGGGAAGATCCCCTGGAGAAGGAAATGGCAACCCACTGCAGTATTCTTGCCTAGAGAATCCCATGGACAGAAGAGCCTGGCAGGCTACAGTCCATGGGGTCGCAAGAGTTGGACATGACTTAGCGACTAAAGCACCACCACCACTATCATCAGCACCTAGGGAGTGTGCAGTGTTAGCTATTATTATTCTGCCTGCAATGCAGGAGACCTGGGTTCAACCCCTGGGCTGGAAAGATCCCCTGGAGAAGGGAAAGGCTACCCACTCCAGTGTTATGGGCTGGAGAATTCCATGGACTGTGTAGGCCATGGGATCGCAGAGAGTCAGACACAACTGAGACTTTCATTTTCATGCATTATATAAAGTTTAAGAACAAAGAATCGGACACAGTGGGGGTTTCCCACTGTGTTGGCTGCTCTGGGGGTAACCAGAGTGACCCTGACCCACAGGCGTTGCCCCCGTCTCCTCCCAGGTGTTCGAGAGGCAGCTGCAGCTGGCCACATCTCAAAGGAAGCCCTTGGTGATCCACTGCCGAGACGCGGAGGAGGATCTGCTGAAAATCATGAAAAAATGGGTGCCTCCAGATTACAAGATTCACAGGTGAGAGCCTAGAACTTCAGCAGGCAAGGGAAGTGAACAGGCCCCGCGGTCTAGGATGTTACCGGGAAGAAGAAAGTGAGCAAGGAGAGCATTGATAATGTCACATCGTAATACAGAATCTTTCCCCAAGATTAACTAGCAGCTTGAGCCATATGAAATTTCTGGTATTTGATTGTTTTTTATCTAAAAAAATGGCAACTTCATTTGGTCTGAGCTGATACCCTAAATCATTGTGGTCCCCATATCGTGAAAGTGTGAAAAAGGGAAGGTGTTAGTTGCTCAGTCGTGTCCGACTCTTTGTGATCCCGTGGACTGGAGCCATGCCGTGAAGCAGGCTGAGACGGGGGCTCGGTTCCCAGGGATGAGAACTGTTGATCTTGGGAGAGGCTGCCTTCAGGACACCTGAAAAGAAATTTTCTCTCCTCCTTTGACTTGAAAAAGCTCATCCTCCTTTGACTTGAAAAAGCTCATCTTTCCCCCTTTCCCTCCTTAAAAGTCCAGGATGCGTCTTCTCTAAAAGGTACCTAGGAGTTCTTTAGTTTGGTAAAGTCACCGACCCCTGCATCGTGGGCCTGTTTTAGGCGTGGGCTAGGCCTGGGGAGGAGGGGCCCTGGAGGAGCTGAGAGACGGTCAGCTGGTCACTCTCCCGAGGCCGGGGGGCCGAGGTGGACACGGGGCGCCCTGGGAGCCGGAGGAGGGGCCCTTAGCTGTGTCTTACTACAGTAAGGTCAGGAGTGACGCCCGGCTGGTGCTTTCAAGAGGGGCGAGAAGGGCTTAACTGAGAAAACAGGGAGGCTGGATCCTGGGCAAGGTCAGGACAGGTGGCCGAAGCATGTGGGGCTGTCCAGCCACACGCCTGCCTCCAGGGGCCCCAGGCCGGGGGAGTGTCACCTCTGAGTGGAGCTACCCCGAGAGACCCGGGGTGTGGGCGCTCAGCCCTTCTGGGGTGATGTGTGTTGTACTAGGAGTGCGGACAGGGGTCAGCTCAGAGAAGAAAATTCACGTGTAGGCCAGCCCCCCGTTTCCGCTTTCTGTCTCCTCGTCACTTGACTGTGTGGACGCAGTCTTTCCCTGCTCTTATTGCGATCCGGAGGGACTCGGGTTGTCCACTCTGCCCCGACCGCGTGGACTGTGAGTCCTTCCCTGGGATGCAGTCTCTCTGTGTCTGAGAATCTACCCACCGGCAGTCCCATAAAAGAGGGGACGGGTCTGGAGGAAGTCGGGGGCTCTGCAGAGCGGGTTAGGAGGGAGCCCTGACCTGGAAGTGTCCTTCCCACAGGCACTGCTTCACCAGCAGCTACCGGGTCATGGAGCCCCTACTGGAGCACTTTCCCAACATGTCCCAGCATGTCCGTGGGCCCGGGAGAGCCGGCAGGCTGAGAGAGAGCCCGCAGGAAAGGATCGTCCTGGAGAGCGACACCCCCTATTTCTTGCCACGACAGGTAGGGCCGTCTTCAGGCTGAGCTGAGGCTCTGAGGGGAGAGGGTGGGAGGCGGGTGGTCACCGCGCGGGGCCGGCAGGACCTGGGCCACAGTACCTTTCCAGGTGCCCCGACCCCACACCTTGGCTCTGTATTGCTTTTCAGAATCAGAGTCTGGGGGACCAAGAACCTGAAGCATAGCTACTCTGTTCCAGGTGGTGGAAAGCCCCACCCTACAGAGGGTCGTCCAGGGAAGCGTGGGACCCTGCTCACTGCGCTTCATGACGGGGACTCTGCACCTGCAGACAGAGGGGCGTCTACACAGTGTCAGAGAGGCCCTGCTGGGGGAGGGCTGGGGATGGGTCGGACGTGATGGTCATGACCAGAAGGTGCAGCAGGGTCCTGAAGGCTCGCTGTCTTCCAGGTTCCCAGGAGCGCCTGCCAGTGCGCCCGCCCCGGCCTGGCCTTGCACGTGGTTCGAGAGATCACCAGGGTCAAGCTCCTGTCACTCAGCCACACCCTGGCCGCCCTCCGCGAGAGCACCCGCCACCTCTTACAGCCTCTAAGCCCACACGTGCCATCAGGAGTCTCCCAGAAAAGGTGACGAAGATCACATTCCCTAGGTTTTAAAGTCCAAGACAAAAGTGGCTTGGGCTCTACATTTGAAACGGAGAGCATGTAACCAGGGGGTGAGAACAAGGAGCGCGGGGTGTCTTGAGTGACCTCGAGTCTAACCCTTGTCCCCGTCTCTTCCCCGACCGGCGGCCTGATGAGGGGAAGGCCGTGTGAGCTCGGCCTGCGTGTCCCCCTCGAGGGGGTGTGAGACCCCCCGGACGGGGTGCTTCCTGAGACCTCGGTGGGCGCTCCCCCTTCAGGCTGGCAGGGTTGGGGGGGTGGGCGAGGGGTGCGCGCTGGCTTCCCGGCTGCAGGGCTCCAGGGCCCCGGAAGAAGAGGGGAGGACGGACGTGAGGATGTGGCGAGCTCGCCCACCAGCGCGCGTCTCTGCAGCTGGTGGTGTGAGTGGTCTGCGAATAAAGTCACAGCCCTTCTCAGCTAAGTGCGTGTGGGCGCCTAGCGTGGTTCCTGGTTTCTCCACTCTAAACACATCTCCCCAGTGGAACTCTTCCTCTGGGGGACGTTTGCCGGAGACCACGCAGGCGGTGAAGGAGCCCGTTTCCCTGGATGACTCTTCGGTCCGATCCTCCGGGTTACCGTGGCAGCCCCCAGTCAGCACTAGCAGAAGGACCTCAGCCACTGGCCGCACTGGTTCCACTGCCATCGATTCAGTGGGGTCAAAGGGGCGCACATCGTCCAGGGCATGTCCTGGCCAAGGGCGCTCTTGACAGGTTGGGGGACCCGAGGAAAGCCTGCTTGAGCAAGAAGATCTCAGGGAAGGTGCTCCTGCTTGCAGATCCCCCCGGACCGCAGCCTACCAGGGAACACAAGCCAGGCCTGCATGCCAGGATGAAGAGGCACGCTCCGGTGGAGGTCTGCGCCCCTGCAGGCTTCCCGCCAGAGTAAAGCACGTGGGCCGCACACTTGTTCCTCCAGGCCTGGGCTCCTCGTGCCTGTCACACAGTGCACCGTGGCCTCTGTGGGCAGGAGAGCCAGCGGGCGTTGGTTCCGATCTAGTTTTCGTGTGGCTGGCCGGATGGTTTTGCTGTGCTGCCGGAATGCCTCTGTATCTCTGCCCCCTTGCCCCCTTTGACCACCCCTTTCTGAAAATAAAGCGATGGACCTCCCATGGCCTCCACGTTTGTGCATCTTACTCTTGAGTGTTACCAATGGTTTAATAGTTGACTAGCTCAAGAATCCAAAGGTCTGGAGGCATTCTTGAGTATGTGCCTTAGCAAAATTCAACTGGAAACAAGCATTCCTGGTCCCTTCTTCAAAGTTCTGCTACTGGACTTTCCTAGTGGTCCCGTGGCTAAGACTCCATGTTCCTGTTGCAGGAGGCCCGGGTTCAATCCTTGGTCGAGGATCTACGGTCCCACATGCTGCAGAGCAACTAAGCCCACGTGCCGCAACCCCTGAGCCCAGGTGCTGGAACTCCTGACGCCTGCATGCTTTGGAGCGCGCTCGCCACGACTGCGGAGAGTCTGCAGTGCAGCAAAAGATCCTGCTTGACGTGATGAAGATACCATGCGTTGCAGCCAAGACCCAATGCAGCCAAATAAATACATTTTGTTTTAAAAAGAAAGTTCTGCTGCCTGTGAGCATTAACTCTCAATTCACTGCCTAGGAACACCCAGATATACTTGTGCTTCTTGGCTGTGAAAAATAGACACCTTCTTTGTTCCAGAGCAGTGCAATAGGAGGAAGAAAAATTGAGTGCCCAAGGGTGTCGTCGATGACTCGGTGGTTCTGTGCGCTTTGGACTGTGAGCTCTGATGCCTCTGGGCAAACTGACTGCAAAGCCGTGAAACAGAATTTCCTCCCACCTTCCAGTGCTGTCCTAAGGTATCCCTGGACACAAGTGCTCAAGCCAGAAGCGAACACGCCAGAAGAGAGGCTCTGTTCCAGGAACAGTAACAAGTTTGGAATCTGTGGAGGCCTCCTCTTGGACACACAGTCGTTGGTTTGTGTATTTCCAGTACATTCTTCACTTGGTCTCAGCCAAACGCATGGCAGCTGCGTCCATCTGACGCAGCGACAGCCTCCTTCGTCTCTGGAAATCTGCGTTCAGCCTTTCTGAGGTTTCACATCTTTCTCTCTGTGTTAAGTTTGGGACCAGCTGTAGTCAAGCTCTCCTGCAAGCACTTAGTAATGCAAGCATTTCATTTTTGTTTTGTTTTTAATTTATTTTTTGATTGAAGGATAATTGCTTTATAGAATTTTGTTGTTTTCTGTCAAACCTCAACATGAATCAGCCATAGGTATACATATACCCCCTCCCTTTTGAACCTCCCTCCCACCTCCCTCCCCACCCCACCCCTCTAGGTTGATACAGAGCCCCTGTTTGAGTTTCCTGAGCCAGACAGCAAATTCCCGTTGGCTCTCTGTTTTACATATGGTAATGTATGTTTCCATGTTACTCTTTCTATACATCTCACCCTCTCCTCCCCTCTCCCCATGTCCATAAGTCTATTCTCTATGTCTGTTTCTCCATTGTTCCCCTGTAAATAAATTCTTCAGTACCATTTTTCTAATTCCATATATAGACATTAGAATACAATATTTATCTTTCTTTTTCTGACTCACTTCATTCTGTATAATAGGTTCTAGGTTCATCCACCTCATTAGAACTGACTCAAATGTGTTCCTTTTTATGGCCGAGTAATATTCCATTGTGTATATGTACCACAGCTTGTTTATCCATTCATCTGTCGATGGACATCTAGGTTGCTTCCATGTTCTGGCTATTATAAAGTACTGCATTGAGCAGTGGGATACATGTGTCTTATTCGATTTTGGTTTCCTCAGGGTATATGCCTAGGAGTGGGATTGCTGGGTCATATGGTGGTTTTATTCCAAGTTTTTTAAGGAATATCTATACCATCTTCCATTGTGGCTGTATCAATTTACATTCCCACCAACAGTGCAAGAGGGTTCCCTTTTTTCCACACCCTCTCCAGCATTTATTATTTGTAGACTTTTTGATGATGGCCATTCTGACTGGTGTGAGGTGATATCTCATTGTAGTTTTGATTTGCATTTCTCTAATAACAAGCAATGTTGAGTATCTTTTCATGTGTTTGTTAGCCATCTGTATGTCTTCTTTGGAGAAATGTCTGTTTAGGTCTTTTTCCCAATTTTTGATTGGGTTGTTTGTTTTTCTGGTATTGAGTTGTATTTGTTGTATTTTCTGGTATTGAGCTACTTGTATATTTTGGAAATTAATCCTTTGTCAGTTGTTTCAGTTGCTATTATTTTCTCCCATTCTGAGGGTTGTCTTTTCACCTTGCTTATAGTTTCCTTTGTTGTGCAAAAGCTTTTAAGTTTAATCAGGTCCCACTTGTTTACTTTTGTTTTTACTTTGGTTTCTCTAGGAGGTGGGTCATAGAGGATCTTGCTTTGATTTATGTCGTTGCGTGTTCTGCCTATGTTTTCCTCTAAGAGTTTTATAGTTTCTGGTCTAACATTTAGGTGTTTAGTCCATTTTGAGTTTATCTTTCTGTGTGGTGTTAGGAAGTGTCCAGATTTCATTCTTTTACATGTAGCTGTCCAGTTTTCCCAGCACTATTTATTGAAGAGACTGTCTTTGCCCTATTGTATATTCTTGCCTCCTTTGTTAAAAATAAGTTACCCATAGATGTATGGGTGTATTTCTGGGCTTTCTATCTTGTTCCATTGGTCTGTATTTCTGTTTTTGTGCCAGTACCGTACTGTCTTGATGACTGTAGCTTTGTAGTTTAACCTGAAGTCAGGAAGGTGGATTCCTCCAGCCCCAGTCTTCTTTCTTAAGACTACTCTGGCTGTTCGGGGTCTTTTGTGTTTCCATATGAATTGTGAAATTTTATGTTCTAGTTCTGTGAAAAATGCCATTGGTAATTTGATAGGGATCACATTGAATCTGTATATTGCATTTGGTAGTACAGTCATTTTCACAGTATTGATTCTTCTTACCCAGGAACATGGAATCTCTCTCCATCTGTTTATGTCATCTTTGATTTATTTCATTAGTGTTTTATAATTTTCTGTATACAGTTCTTTTGTCTCCTTATGTAAGTTTATTCCTAGATATTCTTTTTTGTTGCAATGGTGAATGGGATTGATTCCTTAATTTCTCATTTTTCATTGTTAGTATATAGAAATGCCAGTGATTTCTGTGTATTGATTTTGTATTCTGCAACTTTGCTAAATTCACTGATTAGCTCTAGTAATTTTCTGATACTATCTTTAGGGTTTTCTGTATATAGTTTCATGTCATCTGCAAACAGTGAGAGCTTTACTTCTTCTTTTCCAATCTGGATTCCTTTTATTTCTTTTTCTTCTCTGATTGCTGTAGCTTGGACTTCCAGAACTAAGTTGAATAAGAGTGGTGAAAGTGGACGCCCTTGTCTTGTTCCTGATCCTAGGGGGAATGCTTTCAGTTTTTCACCATTGAGAATAATGTTTGCTGTAGGCTTATCATATATGGCCTTTACTATGTTGAGGTAGGTTCCTTCTATGCCCATTTTTTGAAGAGTTTTAGTCATAAGTGGGTGCTGAATTTTGTCAACGGCTTTTTCTGCATCTATTGAGATTATCATATGGTTTTTATGTTTCAATTTGTTAATATGGTGTATCACATTGATTGATTTTTGTGTATATTGAAGAATCCTCGCTTCCCTGGAATCAACCCAACTTGATCATGGTGTATGAGATTTTTGATGTGTTGTTGAATCTTGTTTGCTAAAATTTTGTTGAGGATTTTTGCATCTATATTCATCAGTGATATTGGCCTGTAGTTTTCTTTTTTTGTGTTGTCTTTGTCTGGTTTTGGTATCAGGATGATGGTGACCTCATAGAATGAGTTAGGAAGCGTTCCTTCCTCTGCAATTTTTTGAAAGAGTTTTAGAAGGATAGTCATTAGCTCTTCTCTAAATGTTTGATAGAATTCTCCTGTGAAGCCATCTGGTCCTGGGCTTTTGTTTTTTGGGAGATTTTTGATCACTGCTTCAATTCCAGTGCTTGTAGTTGGGTTATTCATAATTTCTATTTCTCCTTGGTTCAGTCTTGGAAGATTGAAATTTTTTAGGAATCTGTCCATTTCCTCCAGGTTATCCATTTTATTGCCATATAGCTGTTCATAATAGTCTCTCTTTGTATTGCATTGTCTATTGTAACCTCTCCTTTTTCATTTCTAATTTTTCTGATTTAATTCTTCTCTCTTTTTTTCATGATGAGTCTGGCTAAAGGTTTGTCAATTTTGTTTATCTTCTCAAAGAACCATTTTATTTTTATTAATCTTTATCATTGTTTCTTTCATTTCTTTTTCAATTATATCTGCTCTGAACTTTATGATTTCTTTCCTTCTACCAATTTTTTTTTCTTTTTCCAGTTGTTTTAGGTGTAAAGTTAGGTTGTCTGTTCGATGTTTTTCTTCTTTCTTGAGGTAGGATTGTATTGCTATAAACTTCCCTCTTAGAACTGTTTTTGCTGCATCCCATGGGTTTTGAGTTGTCATGTTTTCATTGTCATTTGTTTCTAGAAATTTTTTGATTTCCCTTTTGATTTCTTCAGTAACCTGTTGCTTATTTAGAAATGTGTTGTTTAATCTCCATGTGTTTGTTTTTTACAGTTTTTTCTTGTAATTGATACCTAGTCTCATAGCATTATGGTCAGAGAAGATGCTTGATATGATTTCAATTTTCTTTAATTTACTGAGGCTTGATTTGTGACCCAAGATGTGGTCTATCCTGGAGAATGTTCCATGTGTACTTAAGAAGAAGGTGTATTATTATGCATTTGGATGGAATGTCCTGAAGATATCAAGTGTTTTCATTTTCGCATCAGTGACTTCCGTAACATCTGGGCCAATGTCCACTGAAGTGTGTGGTGCTTGAGTGAAGTTTCCAAGACGGCACAAGAACCGTTGGTCTGTGACCAGGCAGTCCCCTTGCTCGCTGTAAACGCTCATCTGTCAACGCTGTGTGGACGTGGATTCAGACTAAAGGGAGGTAACTAAGCTTGGGTCTCTACTGTTGTGTCTGTACACCATCGTAAGAGAATTTCTTACACCCCTGTCAGTGTGTAAGAGGTTAAGTTCATGTGCTAGCTCATATGCTAATGTACCTGGCATATTAGTTATAGAACACAAAAGTTTGGTTTTTTTAAAGTCTTTTTTTAAAGGAGGGTGTTTTCTCCCATGTGGCAAATACCTTGCTCAGCCTGGGGATAAGTACACCAGCTTCAGAGAACCAGAGTTAGAAGGGTGTGTCTAGAAGGGACATGTGCAGGGGCAGGTCTGAGCAGGCTGATGTGGGACCAGGTTGGAAATGCTATGTATTCTCAAGTGTGTGTTCCCTGTGATCAGTTTTTCTGCCAGTTATTGACTTGAAATTGTCCTCAGCCCACTCCAAGCTGACCCTGTGTATTGTGAAGGAAAATGAGAAATAGAAACAAGAGGAACCCCGGGACCTTAGGCAGTAGGGTCAGGCGGTGACGGTGGGTCACCGAGTGTGCAGCTGAGTGTGCGGGAGTGCGGCCTAAGCCCATAGCTCTGGGTGGGTCAGAAACTTGTTTGCTCTGTGGCCTTGGGAAGTCACTTAATGCCCCTGGACTTCAGTTTTCTCCCTCATAAGTGGGTTTTTTTGTGTGAAAGTTAACTGAAATCACACTAAATTCATGTAAGCAGTATTTTGAGCAGTGCCTGGTGCCCAGGAAGGTGAAAGTGTTAGTCACTCAGTCGTGTCTGACTCTGTGTGAGTCTGAGTCGTGTCTGACTCTGTGTGGCTCTATGGACTGTAGCCGCCAGGCTCCTCTGTCCATGGGATTCTCCAGGCAAGAACACTGGAGTGGGTGGCGTTCCCTTCTCCAGGGGATCTTCTCTGACCTAGGGATCAAACCTGGGTCTCCTGCATTGCAGGCAGCTTCTTTACCGTCTGAGCTAACGGGAGTGCCCAGGAAGAATGCAGTAAGTGGTGGCTGTTAAGACAGTTAACGTGCAGGTGTCCTGTGGGAGATGCTTGGTTCGTCCTTGACAGTGACCGGTGAAGATGGGTGTTTACGTGGGAAGAGCCCGCACACTTCAGTGTCTTGGGTGGGTCCGCAGCTGGTGTTCACGTTCAAGTCTGAGTCCGAAGCTTTCCAGCCCACTGCGCTGCCTGGGCCAGTGAGAGAGCCCAGGCCAGAGTGGCTGCTTCTCATCTGTGTGTGGAGTGAATGACCTGGGCGAGTGGGAGGGAAGGCTGGTGTGGCCCGTGAGGAAGGAGTAAGGCCTTGTCTCTGAGGAGGGGGCAGCCGGTGACCAGCATTCCCTGGGGCCTGACACCCGTCCTCCACTGAGCCCCATATGGCTGCTGTCCATCAGGTCAGGAGCGGGTTTCTTGGGCCCTTTGAACGTGTTCAGGCCTTGGGTCCTCCTCTGGGTGTTGAGAAGAGGGCGGTGGGCTAGGGTGGCACCCCTGCTCAACTTTAGAGCTGGGATGTAACTCAGCTCCAGGCCCGCACGTTGGTCTCTGCATCAGAGCAAGGGGCTGGAGGCTTCAGCTTCCTCCTTCCCTCCTCTCACCCAAGCTGTTCACCTGCTTTCTAGTACCTTAGATTCCTTCTGTGGGGACAGAGCCTTTCAAACTGTGATTGCCACTTAGAAGCAGATGCTTTCAGAAGCAAGGGCTCGTTGAGCTAAGGCACTGGGCGGTCAGATCATCAGTGTGTGAGATGCCCCGAGAGATGGAGAAGTATGTGTGTTGTCCACCTGATGGACAGGCCTGGCGTTGACATCAGAGCTGAGGCTTAGAGGGCTGGTGGGGGAGGTACGTGAAAGAGGAGGCAGGACAGCTCTTTCCCGCGCGCTCAGTTTTGTTGAGGCCCGCAGGCCAGGCCTGCGTTTTCTTGTCACAGGAGAGTCAACACTTGCTCCAAGCCTAGTGGGGGACCGGGCTGTGCTCGTGAATAGGACCCTGTGGCCTCTAAACCACTTTATATGCGCCTGGGAGTCTTGTTAGAAAGCAGATCCTTATCTGTCCTAGGGCAGGGGCAGGGTCCCAGAGTCTAAGAGGCTTTCTGACCTTAGTGACGGTCCTCTGACCACAAGTGGCTCTTCGCTGAGGGATGGTGGGGGGTTCTGGGTGCCCACCAAGCATAATCAGTGATTAGCGCTTTGTCTTGAGTGCCTGGGAGCTTCCCTGGTGGTGCTAGTGGTAAAGAACTCACCTGCCAATGCAGAAGACGTAAGAGAGGCAGGTTCAACCCCTGGGTCGGGCAGATTCCCTGGAGTCAGGCATGGCAACCTACTCTAGTATTCTTGCCTGGAGAATCCCACGGACAGAGGAGTCTGGTGGGCTACCATCCATAGGGTTGCAGTGAGTCAGACAGGACTGAAGCGACTTAGCATGCAGGCATGCTTGATTGCCGGGTGGCCAGAACGTCACTGGAGAAGATACTTGGCTCCTAGAGGGAGCTCTCTGTGACCAAGGTTTCTCCCTTGTGTGGCTGTTGCCCTGGCTCCACAGAGGGGTGTCCTGCATGTTGGTGATGGGTGTGCACCCAGGTGGGTGTCTGGGTGGTGCTCCTCCCCCGTGATCGCCCACCCATCGCCACCAGCTCTTGAGTCAGCTCACATGTTCGCACCAAAGTGCAAGTGAGTGCTAAGTGACATCCCTTCCAGGAAGACTGGGTCCGTGCTGGAATTCAGTTGTGGCGCTTAACGATCAAGGCTCATTCAGCCATGAGCTGGGGTTGCAAGCGTGTTTGGACATCAACCTTGTGTCCCAGATCAATGGAGGGACCAAGGCAGTGGTCAGTCTTGGCCACAGGCGGTGGCGTCCACTGTGTTAGGCCTTTTCATTGGGTGAGGACGAGGGGTTAGGTCAGCCAGGTCCAACAGTGGTGCTTGCCATTGTTAGTGCCCCACTCACGTCCAGCCTCAAAGTCAGGCTTTCCCTTTCCCAGCATCCCGTCCACCCGTGAATGTCAGTTCAGGGATATTGGCTCGAATGGTGTCACCAGAAGTTTCCCTGTTTACACAGCCCTCGCTAGTTATTAATAAGACACCCCCATTGCAGCTTTGCACCTGGGAAGCTCTGCTGTTTAAAGGAACTTTGTTGTCTTTTCCTTCGTCTTGCCCCTCCTTTCCCCTCCTGTTCCCCGCCTCGTCTCCCCCACCTCCGCTCCTGCAATCCCCGGCAGCCGTTTCTGCTTGTAGGAGCGGATCTGGTTTGGTTTCTAAGCATGCATACCTCCATGCTGTGTGTCCTTCCTCGTCCTCTCCTCTCTTTCTATTGACCATAGGCCAGGAATTGCGGGGGCAGGTTGTTTTTCATTGAAATGTGAAATTTTCGTCTTTGGTGAAATAAACATTTTGAACCTTTGCATCCATTTGAGCATTTATTCATCTCCTAGGCTAGCACCCCTCAGAGCTACATGTGGTCTCGGAAGTGTCCTGGAAGCCACGTGAGAGCTTCTGAGGGTGGAGAACGGACAGGGGTTGGTCCCAGGGCTGGTCACTCATCAGCCAGGGTTTCTGAAAAATGCAAGAAGGCAAGTCAAAGAGCTGTGTCCAGGACTTCCCTGGCGGTCCACTGGTTCAGACTCCGTGCTTCCACTACAGGGGGCATGGGTTTGATCCCTGGTCGGGGAACTTAAGATCCATGTGCCTTGCAGTGTAACCAAAAAAAGAAAAACCACCAAAAAAACCTCTACTGAGTCTGCTGTCCTGTTGCCATCCAATTTGGCTTTCCTTCCACAGGGGGACAGAGGAGATGTGTTGTAATGGTGAGAGGACAGGCCCCCGAGTTGGACTGTGCGACTTCGGCCCATCCCCTAAAAGCTGGGGACCTGGCCCCTATCCCCGATGGGTACTGAATGATGACTCTTCGGGAAAGAGGAATTAGAAGCTCTTTAGGGAGGCAGGGTGGGGAATGAAACCTCTGTTTTGTTCCCCCTAGGCAGGCTTGCACTGGGACTCCGGCGAAGCCTGCAATTGAGCCAAGCTGGGCAAGGACTTACCGTCGGCTTCTTCCCAAAGGATGTCCTGAAGAAACTTCCCCAGCGTCTGGCCATGCTGGAGGGACTGAGCCCCTGACAGCTTGATCCCAATGTCAAAGGGGGCGTTGAACTAGGAGGAGGACCACCCAGGAAACGTCAGAGGTCACCCCCACCCTTCCACCCCTGCCTGCTGCACCCCCACCTCAGAAGAGGCCTGGGTTCTCAGGAGGGGGGAGGGAAGGGCCTGGGGTCTGACAGGGCCCCCGAGGGGTGGCTTAGCCGGGTCACCGTCTGTCCCGGGCTTGGTCTCACCACTCCACGATCCTTAGGAGGCTTCCCTTATGCCCTCTTTACCTGGTTCTGAGGAGGTTACGGATAAAAGCTGTGGGGTCCCCTAGATCAGGTGACCCCCCGCCACGTTTCAGCTTTGGAAGACGTCAAACGGAATGGCCAGCGGTGGAGTTACAGGCCCTGGCAGCATGATGTGGGATCAGGGCTTCCCTGGTGGACGCAGCACTGGCCCGGGGGACGGTCTCTGCACCCCCCTCCCTTCCGAGGAGCTCTTCCCCTCGACCACACAGTCCCTTCCTTGTTCCGGGTTGGACCAGATAGGAAGTTGACCTCTTCCTAGAACAATGCTCTGAGCCAAGTCTGTTCTTTCTGTGCCTCTGTCTCTTCCCTTCTCCAGGGGGATCACCCCATGTCTCCTAGTTTCTCGGCAGCCTATGAGATGACTTGCTGAAGCTCAAAGATTTGGACAACCAGGAAGGAACTCTGTTTGTGGCCGCATCATTGTTTCTCTCCGGGGGAGCGGAGACCGTGTTTGCCTCTGCTCATCCAGTTCCTGGCTGTGTTGGTGACAGAGCTCCTGGGTGAGTCCACGAAGGGATCTTGGGGCCGAAAGGGAGCCTTTGGTCCTCCTGCCCCAGCAGGGGTGCAGCCCTCAGCCTGCTCAGCCTGGGCTGAGTGCCTTTCCCTTGGCCTCCCATTTCACAGATGAGCAGGGATGCTCCGAGGTGTTATTAAAACAAAATGTGGGTAAAATATCGGATAAAATGTGGGTTCCCCTTTTGAAATTTACCTCCCCCTCTTGCGTCCACCGTGAAGATGGAGCTGTGGAGATGACATCATCGATTTGGGGGGAACTGAGGCCCCTCGGGTCCCTCCCTTCAGTAAATACTCATTTCCCCTCCAGCCCCGTGGCCGTTGTGGGTGGTCGGGTGACCCCAGCAGACGCTGGGGCTCCGTGAGCACTGAGCTGGGGACCCACCGGGCTGGTCTGCACCCTGGAGCCAGGTGAGGGGCAGTGATAGGAGGTGAGGAGCTGTCGGACGGGAGAGCATGGCTTCGGGGGGCTGGAGATGGCCGCCTTGGCCCCAGTGTCTGACTGGTCTGTGGGTGACAGGTGGGGTGGGACAGGACTTGGTCTATACAGCGTTCCGCTCTGAGATTCCATTTTAGGAAAACGTTTGGAGGGAGTGGAGGGGCCTGCGACGCCTGAGGCGGGACCCCGGGAATGGAGACTTTGGGGCACACAGCCTGCGCTCTGCGGCCTGTGTCTCAGGCTTCCCCCACATCTGGTGGGCCCCCCACCTCTGGACATCACACACTCTGGTGCCGGCTGAGGCAGGGCCTGCTGTTGCCTCTGTGGAAACTGGAAAGTCCCAGCTAAGACTTCTCCCCCAGCTGAGCCGTCCCAGGGCTTCCCTTGCCCCGCTGGGCCTGGCAGTCTCATCAGGAAAGTCCCCTGGTTTTAATCTAAGAACCGCAGGCCGTTGTCAAGTAGGAATGTGACGGGTGGGGTCTCACATGCGGTGGAGGAGGTGCCCGGTGAGAGTCGGGCTGGGAGCTGGGGATTTGACCTCTCATGGGAGCAGAGGCGGGCAGAGGAGACTTCCCGGGCACCTGCTCTCTGCCAGACCGGCGACAGAGAGCGAGAGCTTGGGGACCCGAGCCCCCCAGACCGTGGGTCCCACCTTGGCGCCTGCAGGCGGCGGCCTGTTGGGCCAGCGGGTTCCCCTGGCTGAACCTTTGTTCCTCATCTCTAAACGAGGCCACGGAGACCAGCTGTACCAACCTCATGGGTGGTTGTAGAGCTTCATGCCAAGCAGGAGGGTAGAAGGGCTTCCCAGGTGGCGCTGTGCTAAAGAACCCACCTGGCAATGCAGGAGATGTAAGAGACGCAGGTTCGATCCCTGGGTCGGGAAGATCCCCTGGAGGAGGGCCTGGCAGCCCACTCCAGTACTCTTGCCTGGAGAATGCCACGGGCTGGGGAGCCTGGTGGGCTACAGTCCGTGGGGTCGCAAGGAGTCGGACACGACTGAAGCGACTGTGTACACTGGTGTGCAGGAGGGCGGAGCCGTGGGAGGTGAGGCCCAGGGGGTGTGGTGCTCGGTGGTGACCGGGCACCTCGGGGGACCCTGGTCGCGCTGCACGGAGATGCCCATCTCCACCTAAACCCTTGTCAGTCCTTTCCCGGGACCGTGGCCAGGCCCCCCGGCAGGAAGGCCATGTGACAGGGGGCCCTTAAAACCCCTCATGCCCTGGTCCTCCCGTTCTCACCAAACGGTGCCCTTGCCCCGGGCAGGATTCCTGAGCCCAGGCGAGCCTGCCAGGCTCCGTCCTGGCCTGCAGGGGGGTTCACCCGTCCAGGGTGCCGCCCTGCCAAGACAGAGTAAGGTCAGGTCCTGGAGGGCCCTGAGCCCATCGGGAGGTTTTCTGCGGGGAGACACCTGCAGCCTGTGAGCAGCTTCTCCTCCCTGAGTGATGTGAATACTTGCTGGCACGCCCCCTCCCCTCTGCCGGGGCTCCTCCTGTTGCAGCAAATTTCCTTAGACATTTGCCTGTTGATGGTGAAGACCTGGCAGAGCCAGGGGTGTGGAGTCCACTCTTGTCCTGCTGTTTGATGCCCCTTGAGTAGCTGCTAAGTGGGTGTGTGTGGGTGGCCACCCTCCCCTGCCCTCCCCACCCCCGCCTCCTACTGCAGAGGGACCCACCCGGATTTCCAGCTCGTCCTCTGCACCTTCCGCCTGACTTCCCACCTCCGGGTCAAACTGGCCTTCCAGGGCCCGGGGCTTCAGTCTGCCTGATGGCTTCTTAGGTTCCTTTCTCTGCAGGAAAGAGGAGGTGCTCCCCTTAGGCCCCGAATCCCCCCCTCCTCCGAGAAGCAGAGTGAGGCGTGGACCCATGATCAGACCCAGAGCCCTCCTTTGGGCTCGGGGAGAAAGCTGAAGCTCAGGGTGAGCCACTGCCCAGCTCACACGGCTCGGGGCATTCAGGATGCGGGGCTCCTGGGGTGACGTCTTACCTGCAGTTTCTGATGTTCGGGGCTCAGAAAGCTGGAGCCCGCCATGGCCAAGTCCAGCCAGAGCACGCTGAGCAGCAGCAGGCTGCAGATGGTCCATGGGGCAGGCATGGCTTCCCTGGCTGGAGGCAGACGGACCTGGAGGAGAGAGGGTCTCTGGGCCGGTTAGAGAGATGGTGGCGGGGCTCCGCGCTGGACCCCTGCATCCGGGGTGACTGCTGTCTGGAGCAGCTCTCCCCCAGGAGTGCCGTCTGCCTGCCTCCCCAGGTAGGAGCATGCGGGCTCCTTCCCAAGACTGTTCTCTCGGGGGCGGGTGCTTGGCAGTGGGACTGTCCGCATCCTTCGTCCCCCACCCTGAGAACCTTGTGCCAAGTTTCTGGTGGAGGGGTGAGGAAGGCAAACCGGCCAGGTCCCAGGAGACGCGGGGGGCACCGGGGCCGCTCCCAAGTCCAGCTGGGAGCAGCCGGGCAGCCCGGGGCCCTGCGACCTCCCTGTGTTCAGAGGGGCCTGTGGGTGCACAGCCGTTGCCGTGAGTTAGACCCATAAACAGACCCCCTGCACGCGAGTGTCCCCAGAGTGCCTACCTGGGGTTCCGGGCGGAGGTGGCGACTGGTGGCCATCTGGTCCTTATATAGGGCAGCCTGTGTTTGTCTGAAACCGGCAGCTGTCTCTCAGGGCAGCCTGGCATCCGGGGGCTGAGTGCCATTCCTTGGGAACTAAAAATGCTTCCATCACCCACCAGGGAGACGTCAACAGCAGAGGTCAAATCCCTGGGAGACAGCTGGCTTGGCTGGGGTGGCCCCGTGGGGCCACCTGCCCCTCCTGTGCCCAGGCACGCCCGCCTCGGCTTGGGTGGGAGGGGGGAGAGCGCGCCCTGGGGCCAGCCCGGCATCGCTGCTCGGCAGCCATCACCCGCTGGCCTTTCTGCTTGCCGCCTCCTCCCGGGATAGAACCAGGTCGGTTGCTGTTGTTCAGTTGCCAAGTCATGGCTGACTCTTTGCGACCCCACGGACTGCGACGGCCAGGTGTCCCCATCCCTTATCCTCTCCTGGATTTTGCCCAAGTTCACGTCCGTGGAATCGGTGATGAACCAGGCATCGTCGCTCCATCTCAGAGGCTTGTGCTGCCTCGGGCCTCATGAGGGACGCGGCTCTGGCTCCCATGGCCTGGGAGCCTCCTGGCATTCTCAGGCCGCCCAGAAGGAAGCCCTGTTTTTCAGATGGGGAAACTGGAGGAGCAGGGCAGTGACTGTCTCCAGCAGGGGTTGAAGGCCCGTCCTCGCCTCTGGGAGGAAGCGGGATGGCTCCGCCCTGCGTGGTCTTCCTTAACATGTGGGCTTGCCTCCCCTCCCCCGGCCGGCCCTGAGAGGCAGCCGAGCGGCCCCGGCGCCGCCACGGCTGACCACGGCAGCCTTGCCCCTCACCCATTCCCCCTACGCGCACGCCGGCCTCAGCGAGGTCACAGAGCGTCCCCCGCACAGGGCTGCCTCAGAGCGACTTTGAGGACTGACTGAGGTGAAGACGTGACGTCCTCTGTAAGCTGTCGAGTGTTACCCGGTAGCTGTTCTTCGTGCCTTGGCCAGCCTTGGCCACGTCACATGGTCCCCGACGACGAGCTGGCCAACCACGTGGGGGGTTGTTAACCTGCCCGGAGCCGTTCGTCCCACCGGCTGCCCAGGCGGTGACTCCTGAGGGCTCGGTGTGTGGTCTCACTCAGGAGGAACTCGATTCTGGCGCGCTCAGGCTGGGAGCGGGGAAAGGCCGCCCCCATCAGGGCCGCGGCAGTGCGGCTGGGCTGTGGAGGGAGCCCCGCTGCAGGCCGAGGGCGGGAGCGGAGGTGAGCGGCAGGCGCGGGTGCAGACTGTGTGGAGCCCCCCGGCGAGGAGGTGGGGTGCTTGGAGAACGGTAGCAGCGGTGGGGGGAGGAGTGGGCTGTGAGGAAAGGCCTGGAAGGAGGGGCGGGGTGAGGATGAGCACCCTTGGGAAGCACCTGGCACAGGCATCTGGGCTTTGATCTGGAGGAGGGAAGACTTTAAAGGCTTGTGAGCAGTGGCGTGAGCGATTGACCTTGAAGACTTGGGAGGCTGCACCTCTTGTTTCACAGGGAGAAAAACTGACTGCTTAAAGGGGCCATCCTTTCCCCAAAGCCACGCTGCCCTCAGTGGCCGTGTGGGCCGCCAGCCGGGCTCCCGATCAGGAAGGGGCTGGGGCTGCCAGCAGATCTCTGGCCGTCGGATCCTGGCCTGCCGTAGGTGGACCTCAGGGAGATGGACCTTGTGGAGACCCTAGGGGTGGGGGACCTGGGAGGGGCTGGACTGAGCCCCCCCGTGCAGTGTGGGGACTAAGTACCTTCTGCTGGAAAGCTTTCCACCAGGAGCCTCCATCAGTCCCAGGAGAGGGTAAGCATGTCCCCGGGAGACCTTCCCCTTGTGGGTCCCCCGAGCGTAGGGCTCCTGACCTTGGGAGCCCAGAAGGGCTGAAGGTGGATTGGGGCGGGGAGATGTTCGAGACGGCCGGCAGCGTTTTCAGAGCCTCTCCTTGCCAGCTCCAGCAAAAAAAACAAAACAACCCAAACCATCTATGGTGACCAGGCCCCTGCTGCGACATGAGGCCTCCCTGTATGGTGGAGATGGAGCTGCGGGTGTTGATCTTAGATAACAGCCCCCGCGAGCAAACACGGAACACGCTTGCTCCCTGGTTCCCTCACCCTCTGGTCCTGGGAACAGGAAAGTGCAGACAGGAGGCCTGCGGGGGGGAAACCACCCCAGGCTCATCTCGCAGAGCCCAGGAGAGTTGGGGAAGGAAGGGAGGGCCAAGGGACGGGGAGACGGCGCCCAGACGTACCCCGCTGCCCACCGCCAGCTGCGGAAGGGGGCGTGGACTGAGGAGGGGGCACACGCAGACCTGACCCGAGTTCTCTGGAGGAGGACTGTCTCTGGGGAAGGACCGACCTTCCCCAACTCATGATGTCCGCTGGAGTGCGGGTAACGTGAGGCCGGCCTGCACCTGTCTGTCGGCACCTCGGAGCAGTCCTTGCCCGCTGGGTGGTGGTGTCCTTCCCACCGAACGGCCTCGAGGGCCCAGCCTCGTGGACAGGGACGCAGTGTCACCCAAGTAACTGCCATGTGTAAATGGTGTCTGAGAACAAACTGTGTACATGGCCCACTGTCCTTTTGTTTGCACCAAGGATTAGTTGGCTTATTAGGCACTTTTTTCATCAACTTAGACCAACGTTGGTATGACCGAGGTGGAGTCTGGGGTTATAGAAACAGGTTTTATTTTGTGAGATAGGGCTTTTTGGTCCGACTTCTTTTTTCTCTCCTTCTGACTTTCGAAATATAAGTATCATGCCAGCTGTGTGATGAAAAATTCCTTAGAAGTCACATCAAAGAATGCAGAAAGAAAGAGGTAAAATCAATTTTAATAATATACTTTAATGTATCCAAAATACTATCAATTTGGCACGCAATCAATGATTTACATATTTGACACTGGTTTTCTTTTTACTAAATCCTTACAGTCTGGTGGATCTTATATTTCTGCAGCACGTTTCAGTTCAGACCTGCTGCATTTCCAGTGCTTAGTAGGGACCTGTGGCTCCCAGCTACTGCACAGGGTGACTACTAGATCAACATGGGTGTCACTCTTTTTTTTAAATTTCTATTTCTTTATTTAAAGTCCATAGTAAAGTCACAGCTGTAAAATAAATGCATTTTAAAAAAAACAGAAGATACATCTGGATGACAAAAAATAGATGATGACTGAAAATCTACGGGATTCCCCAATAGCTCAGTTGGTAAAAAAAATCTGCCTGCAATGCAGGAGACCCCGGTTTGATTCCTGGGTCAAGAAGATCCCCTGGAGAAGGGATAGGCTACCCACTCCAGTATTCTTGGGCTTCCCTGGTAGCTCAGCTGGTAAAGAATCTGCCTGCAATGCGAGAGACCTGGGTTGGATCCCTGGGTTGGGAAGATTCCCCTGAAGAAGGGAAAGGCTGCCCACTCCAGTATTCTGGCCTGGAGAATTCCATGGACTGTATAGTCCATGGGGTTGCAAAGAGTCAGACACAACTGAATGGCTTTCACTTTTCATGAAAACCTACTGTACATTTTGCCAAGGGCAGCAGAATGCAACGTGATAGGAAAAATTCAATATTCAAATATATCCTCAACAGAAACTTCCCTTATGAATAGTAAAATCATCTAAGAAAATGGTATGTTTACATAAGTGGACACTTTTTTAAAAAGTGGGGTACAGGGTGCTCGATAAAAATATGTGGGCACCAGGAACTCAAGATTAATCTTCTAAAATGAAGGTTTATTTAACAATAAAATGATCGTTTCTAACATGATAATCATATGAAACCCTCCCCTTTTTTTCCCCCCTTTATAGAAACGGGATGGGCAGTTAATAGGAACAGCTTAGTAGTCATTTAAGAACTGGAGACACCATAGGCATCACTCTTAACACTTGCCTCACGTTAGCAAGTGCTCTCTCACCCCTCCTTTCCCACTGGGGCACCCCTGTTCTCCTGCCATCGTGGGGCTGGAGCCCCAGATACTAGTCTATCTTCAGGCTTCCTGTCCAGCAGCTTCTGCCCTCAGCTGTCAAACACGCCCAGGTCTCTCATCCTGGGAAGGTCTGTCGATGCCCCCGTGTCCAGGCAGAATTTCCTTTCCCTGTATTCTGTTCCACACTGGATACTGGCCCCTCCAAACTATCTAGCTCGACACCCGCTCCACCACCGTGCTGAAACGGCTCTCGGAGCTGCAGGTAGCTCTACGCAGCCTTAGTCTAGGGGTCACTAAGAGCTGTGGGACCTCAGGGTGAGGCCCGTGGGGTCACCTGATTGCAACTGCTGGGTGCAGACTTGTGCTGCGCTGCAGTGGATTCACAGGGGAGGCCGTAAAAAAGCTGACTTCCTTATGCTTCATCTTCCGACTCTGATTGAGTAAGTCTGCCGTGGGGCTGAGAATCTGTATTTTCACAAGGGTCTCAGGTACTTCCTTTCTGATTACAAAGTCATGTTCCCAACGGAAAACCTGGCCAAAAGTTTTCCAACAGAACCTGTGTAAGCTAAACTCTCTCTCCAGATATATTTGAACTTCTAGAA